CCCCACCCTCACCCCCATCCAAAAAAGAAAAGGAAAAAGAAAAAAGATATGTGAATCATATGTTGGGTGTGGATAGATTGAAGTGTACAACTAGCTTAGTAGCTGCTGCAAATTAACATCCATAATGCATTATGCATCCGTAATATATTTATATACAGAGAATATTGGATTACTTTTTTATGTCATGCACCATAACCATTGTGAAGGGAGCCCTAGCGTAACTGTTAAAGTTGTTGTCATGTGACCAGAAGGTCACGGGTTCAAGCCGTGGAAACAGTCTTTTGCAGAAATGCAGGGTAAGGTTGCGTAGGGTAAGGCTGCGTACAATATACACTTGCAGTCCGATCCTTCCCCGAACCCTGCACATATAGAAGGAGCTTAGTGCACCGGGCTGCCCTTCACCATAACCATTGAGCAAAAAGAAAAGGGCAGCCCGAGATGCTTTGCCATCCCGTGTCCACGCAGGGTCCGGGGAAAACCGCATCCCAAGGGGGTGTGATGTAGCCAGCCGATGCAAGCATTAGTGGCTGATTCCACGGCTCGAGCCCGTGACCTATAGGTCGCACGGAGACAATTTTACCGTTGCTCCAAGGCTCCCCTTCAATAACCACAGACAGTTAAACAAAGAATGATGAAGAAAATGCCCAATGCCATAAACTATGTTCACATCCAAGTCTAGTGCTTTTGCCATATTTTCATCTGCTGTTAGCTTTAGGAATCCTTCAGGCATATCTTCAATGTCCCAGAGCAAGACATTAACCAACCCTAAAGGAAAGTCATTGGTATCTTAGAATATTATAAAGGTTCCATAAACTAGCTGTAAAATGGTGGAAGAGAGACTTACTAATTTCAAATTCTATGCGATCTTTATTCTCATATTCAAGCACAAAATTACATATATGTATATCACCTGAGGATTCTAAGTCTAAACTATTCACAATCTCCTCACTATTATACAGACGGATTATCCATTGGTATATTCACATATTTGGTAACCCAAATTCTCAGTGATACAATAACTGGCAAAAAAGATCTTATAACCAATATATGCAAGAAACCATTATGCTACAAAATCGGATAGCAGATGAGGCCCTGAAAACCTCTCTTGCTGGTTTACTGGGTCGATGTAATAATATTCTCCTTTGCTAATGTCCAGAGTCGATCCTGTCTTGTCATCTTCCGCTAACTGTGTCCTACCAGATATTGGCTGCTGATCAATTTGACTGTTTTGTAGACGTAGAGCGAGTGATACTTGATTTCCCATTATATCACCTAACATGGAGGCGTGGTATGTATTGACAGCATCAATCTTCTCATGTTCATAAGCACCGTCTTGAAAACTAAATTTGGTTATGAATGAATTATTTTGTACATTGGTAACAACATTACTTGACTCATCAGAGGGGTCAAGATGACTGCAATTAACAGCTGGTGTAGTAAAGCTTTCAGGAATCTCTTCTCCTGTGTTCTCAGCTATTGACTTTTCTTTGGACTCTTCTGGAGCACGGTCTGGTGAAGCTCCAGATCCTGCTTCCGCCTCACCAAACTCCTCCTTGTACATATCTTCAATCATGGGCTTCCAGAGGCGCACCCGAGCATTTATGAACCAGTTCGCCACCTAACTCAAGCACGAGTTTTGTTAGTTAGATAGCTGGCTATGGCTTAAGCACTATGACGTTGTCTGAAACTAATGCTAAGTTAAACACAGAACTAACAAATAAGAGATACAGATACATGGAGATAAGGTTGTCTCAGGTCTTCTATAGTGTGTAATTGGAAAAGAGTAAGTTAATTCACTTGATTCCATACAAAAATGAAGGGTGCTAATCAAAGCGGAATAGCTATGGATTAGCATACCTGACTTCTTGTTAAACCCGTCTGTCTTGCCAGCATGATTTTCTCAGAATCTTTTGGGTAGCTGAAGAAACAAGACGATCAAAATGAATCAGAATGCATGTTAACTGGTCCTAGGTGCTACATAGCACAAAAGTCACAGGAAAAGAGGAGTGAGAGAAACATACGGATGGAGGAAATGTTCGAAAAGCCAAGCACGAAGGACTGAAACAGCAGTCTCCGGCAAGCCCCTCTGTGGCCTCCAAGGCTGGCGCATCATACCAAATTGCTGAAGGGACCTTTGCTGCCTCAGTTGCTGATCCACATAACGGAGACGATATAATCTTTCCCCTTGACTATCACCTTGCTCCCCCAAGCTTCGACGAGTAACTTGAATCTGCTTCTTGATTGCGTCCCTCAAGCAGCGGAACTGGCGGGATATGGTTTTAAGGGCAAGTGATGTGTATGGTTTAGCTGCACCAAGTCCAGCAACCATCTCAAATGAAGATACCACTGCTTGCATCTGCTGGTAATATTCTTTGTATCTCCTATCCACCTACAAAAACAAAAAAAATCACAATTCACAAGAAAGCTTTAGATAACTTTTACGTGTAATCTGTTAATAGCATATAAAAGATAGGCGTCAAGTGGAAACTGAATTAGTCCAAGAATTGGCATAACAAGCATTTGAGTAGCACAACAAAGGGAGACTTTGAAACAAAACCTGTGTATGATTTCAAGAATGGGATAGAAAAAATTCAGGTTCTCAAAATTTCTTCTCCCGGTTTAAGTAAAATTACAGAAAACAAATCCTCTTAACAAAAGAACCATCAGTTCGGAGTTTAAATTCTTCTAAAGACTAATGCCAGTAGAGTTGTTTCAAGTAAAAAAGGACTTGCAGAGCACAAAAGCAATGACTTTGGATGTGCTCTATGTTCGACATCTGTCAAAGAACAACAATTTTCAGCGAAGTACTTGGCAACAAAAGATACAGCTAAAATCTTCTGCAAAATCTCAGAGAATGCAAATGCTTTATGATTATTTAGGAGGAGCAAAGGGTATTATAGGAACATCCTAATTGTGAAATTCAATCGAATGCTAAAATTTTTATAGGTGAGGAATACAAAGGAAAAAAAATGTAGAAACTCAGTTGTCACTAAGAATGAAAATCTAATAACTTGTGTTCTGGTCTAGAGAGCAAGGAAATTCTAAGTTCATTTCCCCTAGGCAGTGTAGCTTTGCACAGATCATTTCACAACTAAATACAAATAGAAATCACCTTGGACATGGATTTCTTGGACTAGTACTTACTACTCCTACTCGATATGGAAAAGAGTTTCAGCTTAGTCTGAGTCAGCATGTTGGAAAATAATGCGTACAACAGTCGGTCTTAACAATATCACTAAGGTCTACTGCTACTCCATGTATCTAAAGACATTACAAGCAACAAATGCATCCTGTCTTAGCAAAAAGTATCCCTTAAAATGAGTCAGGAGAAATCCAACTTTACCTCATCCAACATGGAAAAGAGTTTAGTCATCTTGCTCTCGAGATCATGTCGCTCAGCAGGTGAAAGTTCACCTTTAATTGAATTATTTTGATCACCAGATATACCAGAGGCAGAACAACTAGATTTGAGATCAGCCTCTTCAGAACGATCTTGCCCGAGCAAATTGAAGTTACGTAGTCTATCTGATTGTTTCAGTGCTTCCTGAACATTAACTACTTCATCAAGCAAATCTTGAGCAGCCTTTAGATTTTTAGAGTTGTAAATGGAATGTGCACCAGAATTCATATTTCTCAGGCTCATGGAGTTTTGGGGGTTATTAGCAGCTCTAGTTCCTCTAGCTAAATCAAATGACAAGTACTCGGCAACTTTAGATTCCTTGTCTTCAGATCCCTGCTCTGAGTGCAAAACATGAGTACCCACCAAAGAAGATAGACTCGAATTTGTATAGTCATCTTGATACGAATACACATGAAGCGAAGGTGGAACTTGCGTACCCAAACTAAGAGATAGTCCTTGATTTTGAAGGCTTTGTTCAATGTTGGGCACAAAAAGCTGTTTCGTTGGAAAAGAACGGGGATCCATCATAACTGAATTATCCAAAAAATTGGGTGCAGCATTCACTGACCTACCAATTGGTTGCATACTTCCCGATTCACTGGTTGGTGGAATGAACAGCATCTCATCTTTGCCTCTTATTGTTTGAACTTCACCATAACTCTGAGCAGGCAATTCCGAGTATGAGACCGTAGAAGAATGCTGGTTAAGGTGAATTGAACTATCCGAAAGACCAGCTGAGTGATAAGAATCAAATTTCTGGTCTGGCAAAAAGGACATTGGCAAAACCTCTCTTTGATTGGACAAATTTGAATAGTAAGCAGACATTATATCTATCCCTATAATGTCTCAAGAATCACAACCTCCTGCTCAAGTGACTCGATCGAACTACAAATCATTAGCAAAGTGTTGGAAGAAATTCTTTTGGGAGCTGTCAATGAAGAAGAAAACAGAATTCATCAAACATGTTCCACAGAGAAAGAAAGCCAATTCAAAGAAGCAATATCATCAAAGGACCATTTTGAACTACTACTCGATATCAGAATCAACAGCAAACTTTTCTTTCCATCAAATTCTCATAAAGAAATCTGGTACCTAAGCTCCCGCTATGTGAGGGGGTCCGGGAAGGGCCAGACCACAAGGTTCTATTGTACGCAGCAAGACTTACCCAACATTTCAAGAGGCTATTCTCCGAGGCTCAAACCTGTGACCTCTTAGTCAGAGTTACGCCAAGGCTCTCATTCAAATTCTCAAAAAAGAAGTAGAAAATGAAATGACCAAACACCACTACAAGTCTACAACAACAGTAGGTATAGGAATTCCACCATATTAAAAACTAAGAACATCAGAATCCAGCATAACATAAACAAGAACAAAACTTTATGAATTACTTACTTAATTGCACAAGTAATAAAATATAGAAATGAAAAGGATAGGGCAAATAAAAGTAGAATTAAATTTACCTGGAAAGAAAAGAACTTGTCTTTGTGTTTTCAACCAAGGGAGCACACTGCACAGAAGAGAAAAAGAGAGGAGCAAAGAGAGTGATTGAAAGCACAACTCCTAATTGGCTCAAAACCAAAGCTTCCCAATATGGAGACAAAAACTGATCCTAAAGATCCTAAGCACACCAACCCCTCCTTATCATTGAACAATGACACCAACCAAAAAATATTCAAAAAATAAACAAACAATAGTGAAAAAACAAGAAAAAGCAAAGAATAATCAACTCCAACCTTCCATTCTTGAAATTTCATGAAAAAACAAAAAGCAAAACAATAATAATAATATATTCCTTTTCAATAATACCAAACTTTCTTAAGTGGGGTCAGCTCAAAAACTCCCCTAGAAGCTTCTATTTTCTTTAATAATTTTTGTTGGTTTCTACTAAGAACAGAAAATTGGTATTGTGGGGGTGGTTGTTTTTATCTTGGTGAAGAGAATATTTTGGTTTTTGATGGTTAAGGGTCTGAATCGGTAACCACCAGTTGGTAGACCTAAACCAAGAAAAAAATTTGATCTTTAGTCTTAAGACTTGCTTAAAACTAAACTATAAAACAAAGTTGTTCTGTTCCTAGTAGTTACAAAGTGTTGTTAAACAGTTTGATGATACAGCTTGCTTTGGTTAGGTAGTTGGTTTTTTTGTACATTACATGTATAGGTGTGATTCACACCATACAGTAGGTGTATTTTCTATAACTCAAAATTCCTTGTAATGGGCCCCCCTAGAACCCACCTGTTGTTAAATGCTTGGAAGAGAGACCGCTGGTAATATAGGATAATTCCACCATAATCTAATGTAAACATTAGTGGTTGCGTCCACGGTTCGAATATGTAACCTATAGGTCATATAGAAAAACTTTTACCGTTAATCCAAGGCTCCCTTTCATACCTTTGATTAAAGGGATTAGAAAAAATAACTCTGGCATAACTAATACAGCTTTTGGTTGGTGTTGTAAGAAAAAAAATGCTAACATTTTTGCAGTAGATAATTATACTTATTAAGTTATGTGAAAATTTATATATTATTTATGGTAAATAGAGTGAAATAAATATACATATATTACCAATATGGGAGTAAGGTACTTTAAAATATTATTAGAGTAAATAGTACCTGCATAATATTTCTATCATTATTCTGCTTAACAATCTTTATACTATTAACCATCGCAAAGTAATCAATTTTTTATTATTCGTTTAAATAATCCTCGTCTTATATTGTGGCATAACTAGTGGGGGCCCTCATCCCTTCAGTGTTTGGAAGAGAGACGTGTGGAAAGGGGTTAGGAAGAAACAGTGACAAAAGTCACAGGTGAAGAGACGTGTTCGGAAATATATGGCTATAGACTCATAGGTGGTGGTAGTTTTAGTTTTAGTTTAATGTTTTTTAACCTGTCCAAATCTTGTTGGTTTGGCGGCTATCAAACGATGTCTTATGCGCATATTTCGGCAAACACAAGGCCAGCGTCATACGTGTCCTTTCTACTTTTGTATTTAAGTATTTAGGGGTAGTTTAGTATGCGGACTAACTATTTCGAGATTATATTTTTGAAATTCTAATTCTTAGTGTAACAATCCAGCCCGATAGTCATATTGTCCCCTCTGGGCCTAGGCCCTCACGAGTTTAAAACGTATCACTAAGGTCTAAGGCTTGTTAACTTATATACCTAGCATCCCTCGTGTGTTTTGCCGATGTAGGACTCCGGGTGTCACATACACCCCCTCTTATGGACTCAGCGTCCTCGCTGAGGTTTGTCTCACTACATGGGATTCGCATAGACTCAGCACTGAAGTTTGCCTCGCCTAACCGGGATTTGCCTAAACTCAGTTGAACTCTGACCCACCATCGGCATAGCTGACACAAGAGTGGCTCTAATACCATCTGTAACAGCCCAACCCGCTAGTGATATTGTCCGCTATGTGCCAAGGCACTCACGGGTTTAAAACGCGTCACTAGGGTCTAAGGCTTGTTAACTTATATACCCAGCATCACTCTTGTGATTTGCCAATGTGGGACTCCGTTTAAAGTCTGGGTGTTACACTTAAACTAATTTATCCCACCTGGTTGATGGAATAAAATAATATCAAGTTTGACCAAAAAGTGTTGAGCTTTTTGCTAAACTAATTAAATAAGAAAACTCTACGTATATAAATCTTAGCCAACAATAATTTATTCTAGATCTAAGATAGAAGATGAGAGTAAGCAACTATAACATACATAAGATTTAACTGTAATATTGATTAAATCACATTATATAAGAAGAAGATGACGATTTCCATAATGTTTAACAATCAACTAGGAATACATGGATGGAAAAGGTCACTAATCTTTAATAAGGTAGAACCTCGTACATTGGGTGTGATGAGACTAACGATCTATGCTGAAGATCTGAGCTTCCTTGCTTCTTTCTCCTTCATGGAGAGAGAGGTGATGATCCCTCCTCTTTTTAGGGAATGTCTGTGTTTTGCTTTTGTTCTGCCTCCCTTTTTTCCTTCTTCTTCTCACTTTGTTTAATTATATACTAGATCTTCTCCCTTATCGAGCGGTCATTAACCATAGTATTTAAGTCATTTGACTATATTATGGACCGGCTCCTTGAAATGCCATGAAATCCAATTCGCCTCAGATATCCTAAATACACGACCTCGGTCGTGGCCGATGTGCGTGTTGTTACAGTGTGGTATGGATACGACAGTTCCAAGTAACCTTTCGTCGTCCCTTCCAACGCCGATTCTTGTCTAGTCAGATTTTGACCATACAATTAGTCCTTCCGCCCGTTGGGGTCGGCTCTTGGCGAGCTCGATGAGCGGACTTTGTTGATTAGTCCTTCCTCCCGTCCGGGCTACTGCGCGTTTAATGCGTATCCCTTTGTCATCGGGTACACGCTTCCCATTTCTTCCTTGGTGGTGGATTTCTGCTGCTTCTATGAGGTGTGCCCGGCTCAACTCTCTTCGTACATGTATAAGCTTTTCTTTATGCTCATTAAGTACGCGGAGCTGGCTGGCCGAGGAATTTCTCTACGACACATACTTCACCTCTTCACCCTCCATTTTCTTCGGGGTACGATGATTCACATGCGTCACCGAGGAATTAAGAGTTTGGTGGTGAAAATGGACGACAAGGCAAATTGTCGTTGTCACAATCCAAACCAATGGGCCGCGATGGGTGCCCGAGTCCTACTTGTCGAACACCCTTAAGCATGCGTTTAAGATATAAACATGAATAACATATGCGAGGGAAGCTTGTCCAAAAGACATATGTACATATACATGCGGAAAATACAGTGGAGCGAGCCGGCAAGGCTACTTACTATCCAACTATACATAACTATTTACAGACCTCTAAATAGAAATACAACTATACAAAAACGGGAATGAGCCATGTCATACCCATATATCTATATACAAACATATCGTACCAAAATCAAAAGCAGCTCCGAACCAAGTGGAGCACGCCAACTCTCGCTGATCAAGGATCCTAAGAAGGGGGGCCGTTGACTTACCTACCTGCACCTGCGGGCATGAAACGCAGGTCTGGGAAATAAGGCGTCAGTACGAATAATGTATTGAGTATGTAATGCATGAAAATCAGTACATAAAAGACATAGATGAAACATGGAATAAAGAGATCCATCTGTAAATCTGAATAACTTTGTAAATTCTAAAATATTTATAGTGTCATGCACATGCATATAAATGTTGTATCATGCATATGTATAGGTGTACGTAACATCATCAAGCCATTGAGGGCATCCTATCATATCGTTTGGGCCACTGTGGGCAACATCATCAACATATACCAACTGATCAGGTGGTGGCGCGTATATAACGCCGTAACCTTTTTTTCGTATCCCATATAAATATAATATACATATATATGCTTATATAACGTCATCTGGTTATGGGTCAATGTACATGTATAAATGCATGAAATGCATAAGAAATACGTTAATAAGATTTTCTCGGAATGCCATAAAACTCAATATGCCTTTCGGATAAACTTTATCAAATACGCATTTTTCTGAGACCCATTAACAGATGATAGAATAATAAGACTTATGGAAGAATAAGAATATACACATCTCTCGCATTTCTATGAATAGAATAATTTATGGAAGTTGTGCATTTGCTCGTTTCGTTTGTGTCGTATAGATCATGCCAAAAAGAAAGAAGGAATAGCCTTAACATACCTGAGTCGATTCTCTTGAGAAAGATTACACCGTACTCCCTTAATATTATAAAATCTCATGTTAATTTGAATTTTTGAAAGCTTGGGCATAGCTTATATGATATACAATATGCATTTGCATATTAGAATGTTTTAGCGTACTTTCTTTGTAAGAAAAGCTTGCTGGACTATTAACTTGAAACAAAATTTTCCTAAAGTTTGATGAACTCTTTCAGAAGAGGTGTAGGGAATGATTTTAATTTTTGAGATTGTTATTCTTACTTTAGGTGGTCCCCTCATTGAAAGCTTGGTGTCACTTTAAGGTGTGACACCTTTTTCATCTTTATTATTAGTCATTTAGAGAGCTTAGGAAAGCTTGCCACGTTTGGGGGGAGGGATTTTAATCATTATCCACTAATTTATTAATTAACTAGGTAATATTTCGTTACCCAATAATTAATCAATTACACGCATAATTAATAATTATCTCAAATTACTTAAAATACTACTCATTTTCAATATATTTTGTACATCATACTATCACGGTCATATGGTACCTTGTATGATACTAGTCTATAAACATCGAGTATTATAGCTCGGACCGTATTTTATCCAAAATCGACAACCTTCAACGAAACTTATTTTCTTTGATTCATGTATCATTTATCCTTCATGGCACTTACTTATCGCTTGTTATAAATAACATAAATACGTTAACCTCAAGATAACATCATCCCACACGTCTATGTCGATTAACTCAAGACAAAACTTTAACGTACGAAACGCGAGATGTAACATCCTTCCCTCCTTAGAAACATTTGTCCTCGAATGTTTAATTCCCCGAGATCTATATAATTTTGGCAGAGTCGCCTTCGTAACAACACTACTACCAACTCTTCCTGTAGAAACTCAATAATTCAATGCCACATAGGACCACAATCATCAATAACAACATTGGCCTCACACGACCAGTGACAATAACTAACACAAGAATGCATACATGTACCTTAAGGTTATGACATCTCAGTCGGACCCTTCTCTGAAGGAGGAAATAAGTAGGGATATCTAGACTTCATGTCTTCCTCGGCTTCCCAAGTCATTTCTTCTACGTTGTTGTTTCTCCAAAGTAATTTCACCAAAGCTACATCTTTAGTTCTCATTCTCTGAACCTGTCTGTCTAATATAGAAATGGGAGTTTTTTCGTATGATAGCTGCTCTGCGACCAGAACGTCATCAACTGACACGATTCTAGAAGGCAAGTCTAACTCATATGCTACCTGGCTTATTGATCGAAGTCTACCCTGCACTACTATTGAGTAGCGAAAGAGGGTCGAAGCATCTTTTACCCGATTTAGGGTTGGGATTGATTTCCACAGAGAGCTAGCT